ATGACAAATGTATTCTTGTACTGATTTAATTCTAATTCTGGAAAAATAAAATTTCCATGTTTCTAAAAAACAGGGGGAATCTTTAAATAATTACAACTCTTCTTAAAATAGTCTACCTCCAGGAGCCTAATCAAAACAGCTTAGTAAGGATTCCACCAATACCCTTGCTTCTCAATATTGCCTTTTTTTTTCCTTTTATTTACTTATTTTTTAATTTTTAAAATCGAAAATATTGTCTTGTCCTAAAAGCCAGGGAGGAGGAGTTGGAGCCATTTCTGATATTATTTGAAATAGAAGTGGCCCTTCTGCTCTTGAATTGATTCTTCCACAGAAGGCAAGGTAGAAGGGGTAATTAAGTGTATGGGCCTTGTCATATGAAAAATGAGATCTAGGCCTGGCACAGCCACTTACTAGCTCTGACCCCAAGAAAGTCATTCCACATCTGAGTTCCACACCTTTCATCCACAGAGCAGGGATCACCCACCTACCTAACAGGGCTGTGAGGGTCATGTCACACAACCGCGGAGAGTACTTAATGTGGTGACATGATGCTTGGCACCCAGTGCATGGCAGTGATGATGCCGCTGTCCTCCCTGTCAAACAGAGCCTAAGGAAAAAGAAGCCCAAGAGAACAAAAGATACATGTTATCTTTTTAAATCCAGTACCTAGAAAAAGTCCTGGCAAACAGTGGGTACCCAAAATAGCTGATGAATAAATAAATGTGATTTTTTTTTCCTGAAATAATCTCTGGAATACTAGAAACGAGTTCAATAAATCTTTTGATCTTTTATGCATCTCTGCCTAGGGATAAGCTTCCAGCGCTGTGAGGTGGTTTGAAATGCTTAAAGGGAACCAAGACAAACAAATCCTTTTATTTCTCATCTGGGCATCATCTAGTGATAGATACCTCTGCCAGCTAAGCGTATTAATTAATGACTTAATTCCTCTGCTTGATTCGCTGGAATACTTTATTCCTCTAACTTTGCTCCTCCATCACATTTTCCCCAAACGCTCTCTGCCCCCGCCCCACCCTCCAGCCCTTCAGCTTGCCATTCTTCGCCCATCAGCTGACTCCTTAATAGGGCCTTTCCTTCTCCTGGTGGACTAGATGGAGAAGATTGTAAATTCCTTCACTGAGAAAGAGTGTCTGCTGTGTTAGGTCTCTGCTTACATCTGTGAGTCAACAGCTGTGGAATTCAACAGCCCAAGGGCATGGAGATGCATTTTCTTTGTTTTACAGATGTTTTGGAACTTACTTCCCAACTAATAAATACCTTTTGGGGATGTAGCAGGATGAAGAAATAAACGTAACCAGTCGGTCAACTTTCCCCTGAGGCTTCCTCCCCAGTTGTTTTCAGGTAGGAATTCATTCCTCTGACCAAGCCTTCCTCTCTGACACATCAAAGATGACCTGTAGTCTAATTAAACTACAAGAGCCAGCAGACAGGAAAAATGTATTAACGCCTAATGATTCCTCTTAAATGTATTGATCCTCAAATGCCTGGAACCACACTGACAGCATCGCTGAACTTCTTACATGTTATTCTTAGATGAATTATTGTAAGAGACATGAATATTACAAACTTGGTGATTATACCAACAACTCCTCTAAAGCATACAGTCATAGGATTGCCTCTCTGCGAAGACAGAGAGATATCAGCTTCACACACACATGCACACACATGTGGGCAGAATTCATTTATTTTGCACTCAACCACATGGTTTTTTTTTAAGAGAGAGAGAGAGAAAATTTTTTTAATATTTATTTTTTAGTATTCGGTGGACACAACATCTTTATTTTATTTTTATGTGGTGCTGAGGATCGAATCCAGCGCCCTGTGCATGCTAGGTGAGCGCTCTACCACTTGAGCCACATCCCCAGCCCAACCACATGGTATTTTGCTGATAAATTTATAAGTACATACACAAGGTTATTATTTAAGAATTAATCCTTCTTTACTTACTTCTATTTTTGAGGTGGACATTTTCAACCTTGTTAAAATAGAATATTTCTTTTGAATGTATTTTGATCCTAATTATGACCTTGCAGTAAATGGTGAGATTGCCTAATGATAAGATTAAAGAGGAATGAGGTCATTCTAGTTATCTAAGAGCTAAAATTACCCATAGGCTTTTCTCAAATTGACTTTGGGAAAATATAGGATTAGATAGATCAGTTTATAATCAATGCCTTTAAAAATCAAATGCTCATCGTGTCTCCTGTACTCTGTGAATTCTTAGGGTTATTAAGATGGATACGATATAGTCCACGTTTGCCTCTTAGATCAGTGCTGCATTAGAACTCCTAGGAAAAAAACAGTGAGAGATTCAGGCATTCCTTCAAAAATACAGGAATGCCTAGCACACACTGGCCCACTGTTAGGGGCTCCAATGTAGTAAAAAAAAGAAAAGCATGTACCCTGCCTTCATAGGGGTTTTGGCCCAGGAAGAAAGACATCGTTGTTTATTAAATCACTCGGTAATACTATAATGGAAAAGTACAGGATCATTTAAGAGAACATAACAAAAGTATAAGTAATATCAGAATGGATTTTGATAAAGCACCTGCTACATGTTAAGGACAGGGGTGTAGTACACGTTAAGATACAGGGGTGTAGTTTAGTGGTAAAGCATGTGCTTAGCACGGACAAGGCACAGGGTTCAATCCCCAGCACCAAAAAACGAAAACAAAACAAAGCAAAAAAAGATACAACAAGAAATGAAACTTAGAAACAAAGACTTACTAGGTTCATATTCTTTTGTTAGGCATATTATTCTTTCAAACTATAAGAAATAATAGTTCTCTGTGAGAAACTTCCTGCATAGCCGGATGGGTAGAGAAGATCAATAATAAATGCCGATTTGGGGGAGTTGCCTATGGTCTGGGTCTGGCTTCTCTAGATGATGGCTAAATCATTCCATTCAACTTATCATATATATCAAAGACTGCCAGATTCTTCATATCGAGACTATCTTAGTGACACACACTTTAAGACATCTGTGGTAGACATCTGTTAAACAATAGCCCCCAAAATTATCCGCATTCTAACCCCCAGAACCTAAGAATGTGACCTTTTATTGCAAAAGGTACTTCACAGATGTGATTAAGGTAATGATCTTCAGATTCACCGATTAGCCTGAATGATCTGGGTGGCCTGATAACAATCACAGTATCAACCTAAGAGGGAGGCAAGAGATCACAGTAGGAAGATGGCTACGTGATCCCAGAGCCAAGATAGGAGTGATACGTCAGGACTCAGGAATGCTGCATCCTCCAGGGACTTCCAAGAGGCAGGGCATGAATTTTCCCCTGAAGAATCTTGAAATAGCCCTGCTGATACCTTCACTTTGAAAGTCTTAGAACTCATTTTGCACTCTCACCTCCAGAATCTTCATAGAATAAATGTGCTGTTCAAAGTCACAGCTTGTGGTAATTTGTTACAACAGCAATAGGAAACTAATACAATACCCTATTACTTATGAGAACTAGAAAGACCCTTGGGAGCATTTTTTAAGGAAAAGTGGATTTGATTGGCACATCCCACGTATTTTCTGCAACTCTTCTTCTATCAAAACAAACTACTTTTCATTCTCCTCCTCTTCCTTGATTATGGTGTCCACTCCGAGTAAACTACAATGGAAAAACTAATTTCAATAAATAACTTGAGAAGAATATTATTTGGAAGCAAATTGCTTGTTTTCTGACATTTTTTCCCTATAAACTTCAGAATTAAATTTTCTAATCTAACTATGCTGCATTAGAGGCAAGCACATTACAGACATAACAATTCACTTCAGGTCATCGCTTGTATTACAAAGGAAATGGGTGTGCGTGTGAAGCTTCATAAAAAGCATTTGCTGAGTAAAGTCAATCTTTGTTTTCCTCAAAGGGTCATCAATGTGGCAAACTGGAGTCTTAGATGGAGTCCTCAGGTTATCAGTGTTTCTTCAGTACCCAGCAAAAGATCTACAGAGGGCAAGGGGGATTGTTGGGCAGATCATGCGCCAGTTGCAGACAATATAAAGTCCCTCATCTTTTTAATCATATATGCATAATCTGAGCCTGCCACACAATTAAATGGGAGAATACCACCTACAACAGCACGTAGGAAGACAAATATCCTATGGATTGAGGTAAACAGCATCTGTATTTACTGGGAAACAAAATGAATGTTGTATTATCACAATCAAAAACAGGTTAGTCTCAATAGTTCTAAAACCCCATTCATTGGATGAGACAGATACTCACCAACTTTTAAGTGTTCCTTAGTGGCGAGTATCTTGTTAGCCCCATCTGGATCTAGTCCTTGGGCTGCTTGACGCTCCTCACAGGCTGACCCTCACAGACTCAGTGAGTTTCCTCTCCCAAGCTCCCTGCTACTCCATGGTTGCTAGAGGATCTGCTTAGGTAAATTATTTATTAAACTCTTCTCTTAAGTTGAGTGTTAAGGAGAAATTTGGACCAACATGTGGCTGCGTCTGCGGACTTTCTCCATGAAGAGGGATACTTCTTTATCCAGGTGGGAATAACAGTGAGACTTCCAGAATATCATCTTGACCATAAAGTGTGGCACAAAAATACACTGAATCTCTTTACTTAGCAAGTATTTCCAGTCACTTAGTAGAGAATTTAACCATGACATGATTTTGAGTTAGCAAAAATTTGCCAACATATTGTTCAACATTGCTGAGATCCAAATACCTTAATAATACATAGAACTTTTATGTTTGCATTCCATTCCATAAACATAAAGCTGTACGTGTCCATTTCTCTGCTATATACAGAAATGTGCATGTAATTTCATCCTCTCACACCTAATAAAGCTACAATGGACTTTGTGCACATGTCCTTGCTCAAGTACTAGGCAAGAACTAAAGCAAATAAGAATTTCACGTTTTACTTTTTCCAGCTGCATGTTTTGCTCATTTGTGAACCGTGAAATCATGTTAGGGAGTCATCACCAATATTCTTTTTTTAAGTAAAATGGAATAGAAAATATAACAGTACAGATACTACAGGTTGTTTATTGTTTTACAAAACTAATCAGTCACATGTAGAGAGAGATACATATGAATCTGTACGTAGGTGGGTGGAATGGGCGTCCCTGTGCAAAACATTTTTCTTACAATGGGTTACAGTAAAAAGTTCTAAAAGCACTGTTCCGTTATATATACATAGGCGCAGAAATTCTGAACCATAGAATATGCACATTTTCAACTTGACTTCCTAATGACAATCAAGTTGATGAATCAATTTATGGTTCTCTCAGGATGTCAGTTAATTCTTTTTACCTCATGGTTTCAGCATTTGATAGTCTCATTTTTTACCCAGCCTAATGGATTTTAAATGATGTCTTAATGTTGTCTCAATTTGCATTTCCCTGATCTTCCAGTGAGGTTGAACATCTTTTCATCTTGAACTGTCTAATCATATTCCCTTGTAAACTTTCCTATCACTTTTCTTTCTGATTTGCAGTAATTCTTATATATACAGTATAATAATCCTTGTCTGTTATAGAGGTTGCAAATATTTTTTTCCTAATCTAGTGCTTTTCTTGAACTTTGTGGTATTTTTGTTGATGTAGAAAAAAAAAGAGTTTTAAATTTAGAGAGAGGCAAATATATCATTTTTCAAGGCTTTGTGATTCTTCGCTTCTTTTTTAAAATATCTCTTTTAGTTGTAGATGGACACAATCTTTATTTATTTATTTTTACATGGTGCTGAGGATCAAACCCAGTGCCTCATGAATGAGAGGCAAGCACCCACTCTACCACTGAACTACAACCCCAGTCTGATTCTTCACTTCTTATCTGAGAAATTCACCTATCCCCTTGAGTCATAAGATTATTGCCTTACATCATTTTCTCATAATTTTAAAGTTTTTTTTTCATTTAGATCTTCAATCTACTCAGAATGTTTGTTGTTATTATGATAAGGAGGATCTAATTTTATTTTCTTTGATGTAGAAACCCAGTTGTTCCCCTATCAATCAATAGTTAGATAGTTTGCTCTTTTCTCACGGATACATCATGCCATATTTAAAAATTGCATGATTGTTACATGATTTTTCTGAAAGCGCTCTATGTTCCATTGATCTACTTGTCTATTGCTGACCAAAACTACAGCTTTTTAAGTTTGATATCTGAGAAATCTATTTCCTTCTGTCTACATTTCTTTTTCGGGGTTGTCTTAACTATTTGGGATATTTTGCTTTCCCATGTGAATACTAGAATTGTTATTCCAAGTTCTGTGAAAAAAAAAAAAAATCTTGTTAAAGTTTTAATTAACATTGCTCCTGTCAACATCTCTACTATCCTGCCTCAGAGAAACCAAATGGCCTCATCACTGTGAATCCCAGCAAAAGAGACTCCCTGTTGTGCCCAGATTTCAAATTTTGTCTGTATCTAACTGAAACTAAATTGCACTGAGAACCTAGCTGCAAGGGAGTTCAGAAAATGGACATTTTAGCCTTAAAGCATCTATAATACAAGAAGATAGAGCAGAACAGTAGATTTCAAACTACAGGTTGCAGTCTAATTGACTGCAGTTGAAATTGATCTAATGGGTAGATCACAAATGGCAGTTTAAAAAATGAAACAGAACAAATTATAAATTATCAGTGTGCCTAGCAAGAATAAGTATTGTTTTACGAAAGCTACACATATCATTTACACACAAATGTTTTAAGGATATTTTATATATGTGTATAAATTTGTAAGGGGAAGGAGATAGGGAATGAATATATAAAAAAGCATTTCTTATTGTGGGTCAGGATCAAGAAAATTTGAAGGCAAGGTATCAGCAGGATGAACAGATATTGTGTGACAATTCACCATAGCTACTACCATATGTCCCTTATTTTGCTAGGGGCACTTCCTATATTCCTAGTCTGTTGATAGTTTTTTTTTTATTTCCTAGTCTGTTGATAGTTTTTATTTTGAATGAGTGATGAATTTTGTCAGCAATCTTTACATATCTATTGATATGATAATAGGTCTTTCTCCTCTGATGTGCTATGTTGACGGATTCTCCACAATGAATCATCTTTGCATTCTTCTCTTTCTAAAAATGTTTTTATAGTTGTCTTTTGTAGTATGACTCTCCAGCTTTGCTATAATCCCTGTCCCAAACATTTCTCACGATTTCTAGAAAGTTCTGAATTTGTCAAAGATGCTATTGCACATCTTGACACATCCTGTAAGAACAAAAGAACGACTCTATTTCATGATCCTTGATTAAATTCACAAAAAGCTCAAATACCTGCATTTAACTTAGTTAAAAAATATCTAATCCTTTCTAGATATCTTTTCAATGTAAGGATCTATGATTAAAAAAACTATACGAAGAAGTCAGTCCTACTGAAAACCTGTATTTTATTCTGATATAATAGTGACAATTATTTCAGTATCCATTTGTTTATAATATAAATCATTTACTAAAAGTATCTCCATCGATGGCAACTACAAAATGTCTGTCTGTTCAGGTTATAGTAATGTAAGTAGTGACCCAGAAACTTTTGTTTTCTTCTTATTTGTTGTATTTTGCTTATTGCTCATTTATAAATGTTAAAGAATGTCTACATTGTTTGAAATCAGTCAAAAGATAAGCACTGGCTTTTCAATGGGCCATGGTTTTAACTCACAAAATCAGGAAATTACAACATTAGTCAGTTAGATCTTTGGCTCTAAATACCTTTAGATTTCTTATTTGTCTTACATTTTTTCTTAGTACTTTTTAGGATAAAAGAAATTTAATTTTGAATAAAATTTAAAAACAAAGCATGATTTTTTTTTTACAAATCATCTGTGTAAATGATATGTTACCACCAAATTTTCAATAATTTAACTGATGTACATATATACGTGTGTACATTCTTTATGAACAATATTCTTCAACATCACCAAATGCAGAAAAATCTATTTTTTAAAAAGTCAGTAGAAGTAGAAAAACAAATACTAATTATTAAACTTTGCTAAAGGATTATCCAGAGAGAAACAGAATTTAGTAATACCTCTGACATGAGTAGTTGACAGCCAACCCAGACTTTTTAATAACATATATTCGAACTGTGGATCCCTCCCTCCTTACTTCTACCTCCTACCTGGAGAGTAGGAAACCCAGAGACGGAATTAATTGAACCCATTTGTTTAGCTAGAAGCAGCAAGAAGCCCAGTGCTAATAAAGAGATGGACTCTCAGTCTTCACAGGAGAAAGCCATAACATTGTCTCCAGGCCAATGGGTAATACATGTTATAACTTCTAGTGTCCAAATTTTCTACAAAGAGATACATTGTTCTTATGATGTAAAGACACCTCCAGCCAATAAAAACATATATAAATATACATACATATATATATATATATGTTGATTTATTGTTTTATTTCAAATACTTGACCATTTAATAAGAACTTCTGAGTGTCTATGTAAGTTCTTTCTTCCTTCTTCCCTCCCTGGATGGTGGGCAGCTCTCCATTTTCCAGAGAAAGAGAAGCAGGATTCCACAACTTGGTGTTGTGAGTCAGATTTGCCTGGGATTTGCAAATGTGATTCGAGGAGGAGTCCCATCATCTCCCTGATGGCTAGAAACAGTAGGATTTAGCAGGTCCTTACTCTGTCTAGGCCAATGTTCTAAGCACATCAAGGAGAAAGAGTAAAGATGATGCCTGTCTATGAAGATCCTGATACATAATCCAGGACATAGAGAACGTAAAAGCACTTTTACACATCCAAAGGTACAGAGATGTAGAGCACAAACCAAGAAGCCGACGGTCCATGTGGAAGAGAACAGAAGTGTATCTGGAGCCAACTGGGAGGAAAGTGTTCTTCATCAAGAAGCACCCAGAGTGACACCCCTGCCTCTCACACAATTTCCCTTTCTCCAAGAGACAAGCAGAAAAGAAATTTTTGAATTTCTGAAAACACAAACTTTTCTGGTTGGGAAGGCACCAAAAGTACCATAAAGAATGCTCTCCAAGCTTGTTGACTCCTGGCTTATACTCTTATTAGAGATGGTACTCAAGTTATATGGGGAACAGATATTTCCAGCATGTGACTTTAGAGGACAAGGATGATTTTAATTCACCTGAAAATGAGAATCACTTTATGAAAAAAAAAAAAAAAACAACGTTTCCTATGAAATATACTGTGCTTTCTATTCTGATTAACAGGTAAGGGCTTATCCAGGCCAAGAGTTCAAATATTAAACTTTGCCCAAGTTCCTCATTGCATAACACGGAAAGCAAAAACAAATAGAAATTGCGAAAGATGATTTTCCTGGCTCCTTTATTAAAAGCCGCATCTTTCTTTTTAAAGAAAATACTCGACAATCCACCTTTTAACTGCCCTCTGTCTTTCTGAAGCTTTGTTGACTGTGCACCATTTGGGAGTTATTGCTGGTACTAGAATCCCAGAAGGAAACTTTTCTGGAGGTGCTTGTAAGTGGGAAATCAGCCACAGCCTGACTATCCTCAGTTGCTCTGGAGCTGTGGGGCTTTCACTAGCGAATCATCTCAGGGACTTAAGGCACAAAGAGCCAAGTCAACCATGGGGCTGAGAGAATGAAACTGAAGACTCAATTTCATCAGTTTAGGTAAAGCTGGGTGCCGGGCGGGGGGGGGGAGCAGGGGGCGCGGCTGGGACACCATATGGCCTCTGAGAGCTTTTTCTTAGACACAAAATTAAAATAACTTGTATCAGAATATTCCTAGGGAGGAGGAACAAGTCATAGGAGCAGATGTGGGAAGATCATATGAAGACTACAGTTTAAAGACAGTTTATCAAATCCTACCCCAATGGTGAGACATGTCACATATCTGCTTCCAGATCATGCCAAAGGAAGAGCAGCATGAACCAACTTCTAGACACCAGTCAGCCTCGTAACCCTGGAATGCGGACTACTTGAGCTGTGTGGCCCGAGGTGAGGATTCTGAACCAAACTTGAATTTTAGACCAGAACTATTCCCTCGGTGCAGTGAGGTATTCTCTTATGAAATTTCTTCTCCAACTTCCTTTGTGCCTGAAAAGAATCAGTTCATGCTGAACACCAGCTGTGCCTGTTCAAGCCAAGCCTGTCTTTGTACAGCTCTCCCAGGACCCACCGGGGAACCCGCCTTGGCCAGAGGTGTACAAGAGGAACCTTTGCTTCTGAGCAGGGGTCCGGGCTCTTTTTCACTTTATCATATGAGTCTCTTCATCTGCATCGTAAAACTCTTCCTCTTCCTCACTCTCACTCCCTAAAGGGCTCTCCTTGTCTGCAGGCTGAAACAGGAAAGGGGGAGAGGGCAGAGAAATGATGTCATGACATTCCGAAAGTGAAAAATTATCACCTAGCTATCCAAATAACAAATGTGTTTTGATGACATCTATTCCCCTAAGTAGTCCCCGAAGTGTTCTAAGAAAGCTAATGAATCATCAGATCTCTTTATTTTTCTGAAAATCAGCTGCTATATCAGTTCCCACCTTTGTTTTCCATTCTACTCAATCTAACTGGAACATTATTATTATTATTATTATTATTATTATTATTATTATTAACAACAACCATCATCCCAGCAGAAGACACGAACAGTTAAGATAAAGATTCTCAGCCCTACCTGCGGAGGATCCAAGGTCTGTAATGACAGTGCTTCCTCCCCCAGCCGACGATAGGAGTACATCTGAAGGTCAGAAAACGTCTCCAGCAACGGGCTATTAAGAGTTTCTGGCAGTAACAAACTCAAGAGGCCTGAGGCCAGGCCCGTGGCTCCAAATACAATGAAGGGGAGAGACCACTGCACATATTTCTGCATGGGCAGAGAGTGGGACCAGAACAAAGGAAACTCAGTGTCAGTTTCCTCTGCGGATGACATCAAGCAGTCTTGTTACTGAAAACTGTCATGTTTATTATCCAGTCTGGACCTCCCACTAGATTACACCATAATCCACTTTTTCTTTGCTCATAGAGAATTATTCCGGGAAATCACTGAGTGATTCCTCTGGCGTAAAAGGCTGGCCATATAAGCAATTGCTCCAGAGATTCAAAAGATATTCTTAGAAAAAGTTCATGTTTTCTTTCAATACAAAGAAACACACAAAAAGAGATGGCAAGATGCTGCTTCGCGCCACTGGAGCTGATTATTAACATTCGAGAGTTCCTCTTATACAGATGTGCTAAGGTTTATGACCTTCTGGTTTGACTTCCAAATTCTGTGGGCACTAATGAGAATTCTCTCTCAGACCATTTTTTTTTTCCTAATTTTTCAAAAGGGAAGAGGTGATGGAGAGGATGAAAGAAGCAGGAGAGGGGAGGGGGAAAGAGAGTTAGGAAAGAGGAGAGGGAGAAGAGGGAGGAGGGGGATCTCTCATCACAAGTTACCTACTGCACACAAACCCAGGGCCTGCACTGTGGGATCCCAGCAAGGGGAACGCAGGACTTTCCCTCCTCACGGGAAGGGGAAGACATGATGCTGGGTGGGGATTACAATGTTCAGGAACAGCCACCCAAAGTCAGGTAATTTTAACAATATACACCTCACGTCCCACAGGTATTTTGCCGAATATAACTATGGAATTAACATGATTCCTTCGTAAGAAGAGTTATGCGACCTAAAATTGAGCATGGGACATGGAAAGATATATTCAGGGAAAGGAAGTACATTGCAACTCTAAAAAGAAAAAAGACAAGGGTCACATTTCAGTCACCCCATACTAGGAAGTGGGGGTTAAGCTGCCTGAGTGATGAACAGTAGTCCGCAGAGAAGGTCTATGAGCCCTATATCAAACCTTGGTTACCTTTCAATAGGCTTGGTGGAAAGTCACAGATCAGACCAAGGACAGACCTGCATGGGGCCCTGGGGCTCCTACCCAGAACCTGAGCATTGTAAGACTGGAAGGATTTTATGGCTGACATTCAGTCTCTCCCCTTTTTTTGCACTATGAAATCTAGAAAATGCCCCCAAAATCGTGTGTGTGTATATGTGTGTGTGTGTGTGTATTAACAAATATATTATATTATATATGAAGACTGCTAGGCATATTTCTCTAGTTTTCTTTTCCAAGTGGTGTGAGAGGAAAACATTTAATCTGTTTCTGTAGCATTTCTCATCTTTAATACAGGGGTGACGATGACACCTACCTCATACAGCTATCGTCAGGGTTACATGTGATGACATGCATCAAGGGCTTAGCACAGAGCCCTGAGCAAAGCAGGCACTTAATGAAGACTTACTAATTGATTAACTTATGAATGGACACAGGAAGGAGACGACCTAGCATCAGCTGACCCTCCAATGAAATCAGAGGAACAAAAGCTCAGATCCTTCATGGGTAAAAGCAAACCAATCCATTCGGCCTAGACTGAGTACTGGGTTCTTAATCTAAAAGGCATATGTTCATTTTTGTGTCTGTTGATCTTAACCGGCATCTGTGCATTACCTCTCTCTCTATGCAAAAGCACAAGCATTTCCAAAGCAGAGAATCAAGAAAAATTAGGAGGTACAAACCAACCAGTGAGGGGACGAAGGGAGCAATAATCCCACCAACTCGGGAGAACATGGAGCACGTTCCAAGCCCAACATTCCTGAAACCATAAGAAAAAGAAAAAGAAAAAGAAAAATTATATCAGTAGGTTGGTTCCAGCGGGACAATTTAAAGACAGTATATGCACATGTGCAGGCACGTTTGCATTTGTGTGTGGTGTGTGTATAGGGGCTGGAGGAGTAAAATGGGCCCAGAACAGTATATACCCAAGTGGAAGCACAGTATCCTATAGAGCGGTGCTGCCCATTACAACTTTCTGTGATGCAGGAAATGTTCTGTAATTACGATGTCCAATATAGAAGACACTGAGCACATGAGACTACTGAGTACTTGAAATGTGGCTGGTGAGGACAAGGAAATGAATTTCCAGTTTATGTAATTTTAATTAATTTAAAAAAGATGGTGGAATGAGATGGACATCATTACCGCAGGTACACGTATGACTGCACATACGGTGCAACACTACATCGTGCACAACCAGAGAAATGAAAAGTTGTGCTGCAATTGTGTGCAATGAATCCAAATGCATTCTGCTGTCATATAGACCTAATTATAATTAATTAATTAAAAAATAAATAATCACATGAGGATAATAACTACTATATTAGTGCATCTATAGAGGATGACGTAGAAATGAACATCTGAACATCTGTTATCTAATGCTTTTATGGCTGTCTTTCAGTCTCTCCCCTTTTTCTGAACTATGAAATCTAGAAAATGCTCCCCCAAATTGTATATATATGTGTGTGTGTCTTGAGTCTCCTATTAGTTAATATAGCCATAGAGAACCAGGGTTTCATATTCCTAAAAGTCTGACCATTTATTTAAACTCAACTATTAAAATTCAGAATATAAATAGTAATTGATTGCGTGTATACTGTCAGGTAACCCAGAATATTACTTTTGTTGGGAGGGGGCAGAAAAGAGGATGGTAGCGAGGGAGAAGGGCAGAAGTTCTAGATAGGGTGGCCGGCCATACACCACTCTGTTATCTCAGCCTCATTGTTAATGATGTCCACATTTGCTTTCAAGTTGCCCTAGTTTGGATAACATTCTAGTTTCAAGGCCAATAGCCAGACAAACTAGGTTGTAGGAATAGTCAGGAAATGAGCAGCCAATCTCGGAAATCTGACTGTTACTGGGAAAAGGGATTTTAAACTAAAAGGAAGAAAGAACCCTTAGTCTTATTGCATGGCTAAGGGAATGAGAAGGATCCACTTAGAATGATCCTCAAAAAGACTGGGAAAGGGCAGATTGAGGAAAACCTGACCCAGCCCACTGAGGTCATTCTGAAAGGTATAAGCTGCATCCCAGGCCACCCTTTAAATTTGAATTAGTTTCTTGTTTTCAGACTTATTTTATGAGGGGAAATTTAGGACAGAATACGTTCTTTTTGACATCTTCCCTTCCTACTCATTTAAAACCACCTTTAACGATGAATGTTGAAAAAAATCTAACATTCACTTACTACTATCTGAGATGATCATTAAAATGTTTTAAAATATACATTTTTTTTAAAGAGAGAGAGAGAGAACTTTTTCTTTTCTTTTTTAATATTTATTTTTCAGTTTTTGGCGGACATAACATCTTTGTTTGTATGTGGTGCTGAGGATTGAACCCGGGCCACACGCATGCCAGGCGAGCGTGCTACCGCTTGAGCCACAACCCCAGCCCTAAAATATACATTTAAACATAATATATTTGTGCTAAAACAAAGCCTCTGTGAGAACAGCGACCTTGTCTGCTTGCCATATGCCTGACACAGGATGGGTGAATGCATAAACTAGATTCAACAAAATAAAAACAGTACCAAGCCCTGTTTGGATGACAGGATGTGTTTAGTGTGGAGCATGTAAATCTTATGATTTACATGAGGGAGTTCAGCTGAGACCAAGCTGTAGTTCCCTCAGCCACACAGGTGAAGAGCAGCCTATAGATTCTGAGGAGTTGCTGCTGCCCCACAGACTCCTGGTGCAGAGGAATGGACAGTCTGGTGTAAGCAAACCCAGAAGGTCTGAAGGGGGCGTACCTGATGATGGTAGGGTAGAGCTCCGAGGTGTAGATATAAACAATGTTAAAGGCAGCACTGATGGTCAGCTTCCCCAGCAGGGACAAGGAATGGCTGTTCACCACTGCAAACACACCTGTGTCTGTGGAGGACAGGACATACCTGTGAGGTCCACAGAGCAACAATCCCTTCAAAGGACACACTGCCTTTTGAAGGAGGTAGAGGCCTGCATGGGAAACTCCAACAGCAAAGAGGCAGCATAACTGAACACACACTGGGAAGGTTCAATAGTCACAAACACACACGCGATATTTCCTCCACGCCTGGGCTATCCCCTTGGGATCCGATACACTGGTGAGATAAAACTTGCACTCATTCCTGAAAGCCCCTGAAAACTTCTGCACTGGAGGAAGTAAGCTCATCTCCTAAGGGTGCCGCTTGACTCTTCTTCCTGGTCTTCAATCAGTGATGTAACACAGCGTTAGCATGACCTGCCCTGACAAAGAGAAGATAGACGGAAGATCCAGAACAGTTCCCATTCCTTGGTGGGTTAGCTTTCTGTTCCTGTAACAAATACCTGAGACAATAAGCTTATAAAGAAGAAAAAAATTACTATGCCTCACAGTTTGGGAGGTTTTAGGCCATGATCAGTTGACCCTGTGGCCAGGCAGTACTTCATGGAGGAGCAAAGCTGCTCACCTCTTAGCAGCAGGAAGGAGGAGTGGTAGGAGCCTGAATGTGCCCTTTAAGGGCATGTCCCCAGTGAGCTAACCTCCTCCCACTAGGCCCCCCATCCTAAAGGTTCCACCTTTCCCCAACAGTGCCCCAGGCATATGGACCTTTGGGCAAGATTCAAGATCCAAATTATAGAAGTGTTCAAGCGAGAAGATATCTTCATCACTAGAAGATAGAGGACACTAATGTTCTTTAAAGGACACGAGAGACAAAATATGGAAAGACTTCTAATCTTTCCTTTTCCCCATCTTCTTACTTGAATCAATAATGGCATTTAAGTTCCTTAACGTTTTATTTTTGCATAAAATGCAAAAACATCTTATGCCAGTTCATTTTCTTATCAAGTATATTATCAATTAGCCTGGCTCTTCTCTTTATTAACATTATGCTCTCTGAGAGTCTACCATTTAATTATTGCCTGTCAAACAAATTTAACCTCTCCCCTCCTATAATCCATTTGCTTCTATCTTCCAAATAGTAATTTTTTTTCCTTCTGGGAAGAAATGATTTTTTCCCTATCAAAATGTCACCACCGAGTAGCCACCATTCCATATCCTCAAATGCACCTGCTCTAAAACACACAGCCATCTGTTTCCAATAGCATCCCCTCCTGAAGTTCCTACTCTGGAAGGTCAATAGCAATGTTCTAATCACCACAGGTAATTGCTTCGAGTTCTCCTTGACATTTCTGCCCAGTGGAGCACCCTTGTTCCCTTGCTTGGGACTGTGTGGCTCCTATAAACCACTCTTCTCTTAAATGGCTCCAATAAAATATTCTCTCCATCCTTTGACCTCCACCGTCCCTACCTTCTGATTCATTCTGTGGCTGTGCCTCAGAGACTACCTTGTGGTTACTTACTTTTTCATCTTGCCAGTCCAAAATATATTTTTTGAGTCACCTCGGGCTAACATTGGAATCTCGCTTCTTTTCCTCAGCATGTGCCTAGGACTAGGTATATTGTTGTTCATTAAACATTTATTGCACTGACAAGTGGCAGGACTATGAGAGTTCATGTTCTCCCAACTTCCTGGGAGGAAGGTTTATAATATGCCTTGCTCCAAAAAAATAAGTTTCACTTTCCCTGATTGACCGAAATAAATCTTTATCGACTTTAACGTGGAATCCTGATACAGTGGCCCCTCTGCCCCATTTGACCATCTGGGGCTGTTTTTTCCTCTTCTGCCAGGATCTTTAGGAAAAGATGTTAGCTCTTCTAAATAGTCGGTATTTTTAAGATACAAGGTCTTGGGGGAAGAAGAATCAGGCCCTTCTGCATTTACCCAAAGACCTGTTTATGGACTTTTGAAGATCTAATTGAAGCCAAGAATGAGGGCAAATTAAATTTACCACTGTCTTCCAGAAAACTGAGTCACAAAAAGGTATTTGGTGCTACTGAAGCAAGAAAAAATATGCACATCTGCTTGGCTACAAATAATTTTTGAAACGGGTTTCCATTCAGGGGATGTCATCTTTCCGACCTCACACAGGCACGTGACAACATCTTTAACAACCCACAAAAAGGACTACTGTCCTGAAATTTAAATTCCAGTGGTGGAACACAGAAACTTTATTTCTGAACACTCACACACAAGATCCAAAGCTTGAAGAAGACTCCTGTGTGAGGCTCAGGACACCTTCAGCTGTGGCACATCTGGGGAGCCTGGCTACAGCCACGCGCCCACAGAGTACCCCCATCAGTCTCACACCCCATCTGCTGCTCGAAACTTCTCTCCTATGTTCCCGCCAACAGATCTGCACTCATTACTTGAACCAGGGGGAATTTGCTTCTTCCTCAAAGTAGCTGTGTCAACTCCAGACATCTCTGTGTATCGGATCCTGCCTGTGCAGCTGTAGGGCTGTTGGCTTAGCTCAGGAAGGCTTGCAGCCACCGGGTGTTTCCCTGGATTCCTCACCTGGGTGACAGAACATCAGATATGACTGGCTGTCCCTAATCCATGTCCAAAGTAATGGTTTAGGAAAAGAGTAATTAAAAGGAAAAAATTAAGGTGAAAATACCTTTTTTTAAAAAGGGGATTCCCCAAGCACTTATATATCTTTCAAAGTCCTGAACTCAGTGAGGTTAGAAATTCATTCTAATAATGCAAGTACTGAGGACCTCATTTTCATAACTAGTTCTCTGAGAGCCCTTTTGGGTCACCAGAACAAAATGTGCCAATATGTTATAGGACTTTAACTAATGCAAAATAGGAAAAATTCAGCTTACTCATTTGGTTCATTGACCAGATGATTATAAGCAAAATTTTGATTGCTTATATGTTTAAAATCTTTAAGATAGCTTACTCATTTGGTTCATTGACCAGATGATTATAAGCAAAATTTTGATTGCTTATATGTTTAAAATCTTTAAGATAGCTACCAGTCATTTATTATAATTCACAGGCTGGAGAAAAAGCCACAATCCCTTTTGCTGGTCTTTGGCTTTCTTTCTTTTTTTTCCCACTTATTTTATGTAGCATGTTTTTCTCCATTTCCATATATTTAGTGGCAAATGCCATAATTCCATTCTTTTCTGTGGCTGAGTAAAGCTCCATTGTGTATATAGATCACATTTTCTTGATCCATTCATCTATTAATGGGCATCTGGGTTGATTCCAAAATTTGGCTATTGTGAATTGTGCGACTTTAAACACTGAAGCAGCTATACCACTATAGTATGCTGATTTTAGTTCTTTTTTTAATATTTATTTTTTTAGTTTTAGGTGGACACAACATCTTTATTTTATTTTTATGTGGTGCTGAGAATCAAACCCAGTGCCTCACGCATGCTAAGTGAGCACACTACCACTTGAGCCACATCCCCAGCCCCTGATTTTAATTCTTTTGGATAAATACTGAGGGGTGGGATAGCTGGGTAATGTGGTAGTTCCATTCTTAGTTTTTTGAGGAATTTCCACATTTTTTTCCAGAATGGTTCTACTAATTTGCAATCCCACCAACCATTGTTGGTGTACCTTTTCCCCCACACCCTCACCAGGACTTATTATTATTTGTGTTCTTGATAATTGCCACTCTGTCAGGAGTGAGAGGAAATCTTAGAATGGTTTTGATTTGCATTTCAAAATGAGATGTTGAACATTTTTTCACATATTTGTTGGCCATTTGTATTTCTTCTTTTGAGAATTTTCTGTTTAGTTCTTTTCCCCATTTGTTGATTGGGTCATTGTTTTTTTTTTTTTTTTTTGGGGGGGAGACATTGAATCTTTTGGGTTCTTTATGTATTCTGGATATTACTCTCCTGGTAGAGGAGTAGCTGGAAATTATAATTTTTCCCATTCCATAGGCTCTCTCTTCAGTCCCTTAATCATTTCCTTTGTTGCATAGATGCTTTCTAATTGATGTCATCCCACTTACTGATTCTTGGTTTTATTTCTTGAGCCTCAGGGGTCTTGTTGAGGAAGTCAGTACCAACACCTGTGTAACTGAGTGTTACCCTTTGTTTTCTTCTAGCTTTGAAACATTTCTGGTCTAATTCCTAAGTCTTTGATCTATTTCTAGTTAACTTTTGTGCTCAGTGAGGAATAAAACTCATTTTATTCTTTTATGTATGAATATCTAGTTTTCCCAGCATCATTGAACAATGATTCAGCTGAGAAAGAAATCAGGAAAATCATCCCTTTCACAATAACCTAAAATAAAATACTCGGGAATTAATCTAATCAAGGAGATGAAAGATCTCTACCATAAAAACTATAGAACACCAAGAAAAAAACTTAAGTAGACCACAGGAGATAGTTATGGACAGGCAGAATTAATATTGTCAAAAAGGCCATACTACCAAAAGCAATGTACAGATAACATGCAGTCCCCATCAAAATACCAGTGAAATTATTCCCAGAATTCTTCACAGAAAAATCAGTCCTTAAATTCATTTGGAAGAATAAGAAACCCAGAATAGCCCAAACAATTCTGAATAAGAAAATAATGCAGGAGGCATCACCATCCCTGATCTCAAATTATACTACAGAGCTAGAGTAGCAAAAGCAGCATGGTATTAGCATCAAAAAAAACGACATGAAGACCAATGGAATAGAATAGAAGACACAGAGACAAACCCACATATTTACAACCATCTGATACTTGACAAAGGTGTCAAAAATACATGCTGGAGAAAAGACAGCCTTTTTAAACGAATGCTTTTTTATTCAATCATTAATTTTTAGTTTCAGTCACATCTTTAAATTCAACAATCTTTTCTTCTGTAGTTTCTAATATGCTGTTAGTCTCATCTACTATATTTTTTCCATATATCTTATGTTTTACCTCTACAAGGGCATGCATTTTATGGCTTCAATTTCCCTGCTCATTCTGATTATGTTTTCCTGTATTTTTTAAAATGTATGAAGCATACCTATAATAACTGTTTTAATGTTCTTATCTCCTTGTTC